AGAAACAGCCTATTTCTAATACTTTAAAAATATATACATAACTAATTGCTTAATCTCAGGATAGCAGTCAGAAAACCTGAGATGGTTCCAGAGATTTTACAGTATTCATCTCTTTCCTTTCTGCAAGGTCAACGCTATTGTCAATCCTAACATACTGTGTGAGCCTGTAAATAATGTACAAGACTTGGCCCTCTCAGGACTGTTATTTTTTTTGTTGTTGGTTTGTTTGGGTTTTTTAAATATATTAATATGCCTTTTCCACATTTCCTATCAGAGTTGGGAGGATATCAACGCAGCTGCCACCTTTCAGTATCTAGTGACTGAGAATTTAGTGCCAGAGACTGTCTCCAGCACAGAGCCACGGGGGTGCTAGAGGTGCGTTTCCCTGCATGTCAGACAGTCTCAGCTGGGCAATTACAGTCCATGTTGAAAACAGCCACTGGCAGAGATTATTTCTGTTGAATCCTGTCTGCCTCCCAGGATTTTTTTTAGTAGAAAAATCTCTAGATTTGCTGATACAAAGAAGAATAAATATAGTATTTAATAAAATAAAAAGTAAGGCCTCTTATTACAGCAGTTGTCTTTAAAAAGCCAGTGCCAACAATATTCTGTATGCTGGGGCATAAAAAAAAAAATGACGCTACCATTTGATTTTCCTATTTTTACATGTCTGTTATCTTCCAGGAAGTTGTAGTGCTGGGTTTTGGTTTTTTTAGAGATGCTGAAATACTTACAGGTAAAGAAAATAAACAGGGAAAAAACTAATCGAATAGTGTAGTCTGTCAACGTGTCTTTATATTGTATGTCCAGCAAACGTGCCATAAAAAAAAGTGCTTTCCTTTTAAAGGATGGCTGTCTGTTCCTTTATGGGTAGGAAAAAATAAAAGCTATACTGGAAACAGAAACTGTCACTTGCTTCTGCACTTCTTACATGGAATACAAACATGCCTCATTCAGACGAATGCTTTACAAATTAAGGGCAGCCCATCTTGAGCCTGAATTACTCTCTTTCTCAAGAAAGTCCTTCCCCCAGATAGATAGCTCGAGCTGACAGAGAAAAATGAGACCTCACAAAAGAAACAGAATCTTTTGAACAGAACAGAATAGAATCATTTAGGTGGGAAAGGACTTCTATGATCATCGAATCCAAGCGTAAACCTAGCACTGCCAAGTCCACCACTAAACCATGTCCCTAAGTGCCACATCTACACGTCTTTTGAACACCACCAGGGATGGTGACTCAACCGCTTCCCTGGGCAGCCTGTTCCAATGCTTGACAACCATTTCAGTGAAGAAATTTCTCCTAATATCCAATCTAAACCTCCCCTGGTGCAACTTGAGGCAATTTTCTGTCATCCTATCACTTGTTACTTGGGAGAAGAGACCAACCCCACCTCGCTACAACCTCCCTACAGGTAGTTGTAGAGAGCGATAAGGTCTCCCCTCAGCCTCCTTTTCTCCAGGATAAACAACCCCAGTTCCCTCAGCCACTCCTCGTAAGACTTGTGCTCCTGACCCCTCACCAGGTTCATTGCCCTTCTCTGGACACGCTCCAGCTCCTCAATGTCTATCTTGTAGTGAGGGGCCCAAAACTGAACACAGGGTTCAAGGTGCGGCCTCAGCAGTGCCAAGTACAATCGCTGCCCGAGTCCTGCTGGCCACACGATTTCTGATACAAGCCAGGATGCCGTTGGCCTTCTTGGCCACCTGGGCACACTGCTGGCTCATATTCAGCCGGCTGTCGACCAGCACCCCCAGGTCCTTTTCCACCAGACAGCTTTCCAGCCACTCTTCCCCAAGTCTGTAGCGCTGCATGGGGTTGTTGTGACCCAAGCACAGGACCCGGCACTGAGCCTTGTTGAACCTCAATAGAGTTGGCCTTGGCCCATCGATCCAGCCTGTCCAGATCCCTCTGTAGAGCCTTCCAACCCTCAAGCAGGTCAACACTCCCACTCAACTTGGTGTTGTCCGGAAACTCACTGAAGGTGCACTTGATCCCCTCATCCAGATCGTGGATAAAGATATTAAACAGAACTGGCCCCAGTACTGAGCCCTGGGGAACACCACTTGTGACCAGCCGCCAACTGGATTTAACTCCATTCATCACAATGCTTTGGGCCTGGCCATCCAGCCAGGTTTTTACCCAGCAAAGAGAATGTCTGTCCAAGCCATGAGCAGCCAGTTTCTCCAGAAGAATGCTGTGGAAAATGGTGTCAAAGGCTTTACTAAAGTCTAGACAGACAACAT